CTCCAGTGCCAGGATGGCAGCTCGAAAGGCACCAGGGACATAGGAGAAGGTTCTAAAATTGTCTTTCTTTGTGACAGGCATAGAGGTGCAGCTTTCTCTTAGAAGTGCTACCAGATGCCACTGTTTCTTTGCTGAGCTCTCCCCCTGCAGGTGCAGGCAGGCACCATCTCTCAGTATCCATCAACCCTGGTAATTCACTGAGACTCCGCCCCACCCAACTTGTGGGCTAAACCAAGCCTCTTCCAGTGGCTTTTCCATACAAATGGTCTGCCTTGGCCCGTGCAGCAGACTTTCCTAAAATCTCTCAAAGGTTCACAAACCTCAAATATATAGAATTTAGCCTCAATGTGCTCTGCACCACTTGATAAGTGGCCTCAGGCTAGGCACTAGTGGAAGCCAGACTTGGTTCACAGCTTGGCCTCTCTCAGGCACCACCATGCCCAGCAGAAGGGGCAACCAGCTGCAGATCACTTTACAGTTCATACCAGGTGGACCCCAAGCAGGGCACAGTCAGTGGCTGACCCTGGCCTGCACCTCCCAAGAGGCCTGAGAACCAACACACCCAGTGCCCAACTTCAGACTACACCAAAGCACCTCCATGAACAACACATTCAAAAGGCAGACTGGACAGGCACTAAAGCCCCACTAAAACGAATCTGCCCCATAGGATTAGCAGGGGTGGGGAACCTTTTTTCCACCAAGGGCCATTTTGATATTTATAACATCTTTCGTGGGCCATACAAAATTATCAACTTAAAAATTAGCTATGAAAAAAGCTCCTAGATTTATTGAATTTCAAGTCCCACCTGCAGATGCCTTGGCAGAGCCCTATTCAGCCTGCGGGCCAGACATTCCCCACTCCTGGATTAGCCTTTGCACAATACCTCCTCCACAACAGTCACAACCAGTCGTCAAAACCAATCAGCTTGAGGGTCAATTCCCTCCCATTGACATGCCAACAGCAATCAAGGCACAACTACAACAGGAGGGCACTTATGACCCACACAAGAGACACACCTTGAGTGCCCCACTCGAGTGAACAGAAATAATGTGCCACTGAGTCCCACAGGACACCTGCTACATAAGATCACTCTACCAAAACTGGGAGACACAGGAGCTCTACCTAATATATAGAAACAAACACAGAGAGGCAGCCTAAGTGAGGAGACAAAAAAAAATACATCCTAAGTGAAAGAACAGAACTCCAAAAAAAGAACTAACAACCTAGAGACAAGCAATCTACCACATGCAGAGTTCAAAACTCTAGTAATAATGATGCTCAATGACCTCAGTGAGATTTCAACAAAGAGATAGGAAACAAAAACTTCTTCTCCCCAGGTGCATGAGGTCTCATCCCACCTAAGGATCCCCAACCCAGATCATCTGTTGGTGAAAATCAGTGGGCATTCTGTCCACCTGGGAGACAAGAGAGTCTGCTCAATACCCAGATGCCACCTTCCCAGGAAAGAGCACTCATATTTGTACAGCATCAGCCTGGGGAGTGCACTGCCTGGTCCCCAACTGCTGCTGAGGCCACTCTGCTGTGCTGGGGTCCTACAGAGGCGTCTGCTGGCTGCACCAAGCAGTGATATTCGGGGCCCCTTTTTCTGAGGAGGCTTTTCACAGAGACTTAGACTGACTAAACTGTGTGCCTTTGAAAAGGAGACCAGTCTCCCCCATCTACACTGCATAGCCAGTGCCCCCTTCCCCACCTGTTGAATCACTTGGCTGGCCTCATCCTGCTGAGTTCAGCAGCACAAGGGGATCAAAGTGTTGTGCTGAGCTGAGACTTTCAGAGCATGCCTCCCAGGGAAGCTTTCTAAAAATTATTCATTTTTTTATTCCTCATCCGAGGATATGTTTATTGATGGGAGGGGGAGGGGGAGGGAGAAGAAGACATCAATGTGAAAGAGAAGCATGAATCAGATGCCTTCTTTACTCACCCCAATCAGGGATCCAACCAACAACGTTCCTGTGTACACGACTACGCTCCAACAAACTAAGCCATCAGGCCAGGGCTTCCAGGTAAGTTGTCTAGGAACTGGACGCTTGGGTGCTGGGTTGTGTGGCTACATTGCACTTCCCAGGAAGGGGAAGAAGTGCCTGCCCTCTCCTACAGGCTTAGGGGTACCACCCCCAAGGGGAATCTGTGTGGATTTGCTCTTCCAAGTCCCGGATATCCTACCACACTGAGCTCAGTTTCATGGGGGAAAAGGAGAGCTTAGATATTCAGAGTGTGAGTCTCTCGAGGGATACTGTCTGGGACCAGGAAAAAGTGCTTAGCCCACTCCTTAGAGCTAGGCAAGCATCACTCCCAATAGAAGACTCTTTTGATGTCCTCCTGAGCCCAGTGGCTCTGCCCAGCTCAGCTGGCTCCTACAGAGGGGATGGCTGGCTGTACCCAACTTAAACTTATGGCATGCCCCTCCTGGGAAAACTAGAGTTGGAGACTCTGGAAGAGACTGAGTGGTTTTGCTCTGGAGTAGGGGCCACTTTCCTCTCATTCACTGCCTGACCCCATGAACTCCAAGTAGAAGACCCACTAGCTCTGACCTCCCAACCCCAGTTACCCACCTTTACCAAACTTGCAACCTAGAGAAGGGCCTCTGGGTCACGACCAGCCTGGGCACATTATACAATCTTTCTTTGGAAGGCTCTGGAGGAAGACCAGGCAACCTCAGGGGAAGGTGGAATGCCTTACAGGTAGAGGTGGACCTCAGGTAGCCTCAGTGCTTTTACAGATCTGCCCCCAGCTCGAAGCTGGAGGAAGCTGACCCTTATACACAGATTGGCCCCTTCCACACACACCCATGCCAAATAAATGCAACCACAATAGTGAAGAGCGTGGTAGCTCCAGACAGGCAGACCAAGGCTGGTTACATACAACATCTGACATCGACCTGTACCTGAACCCTACCCAAGTGGACCCAGAACCAACACAACTAGTGGTGAACTTCAGACCACACCAGAGCTCAACCTAACTAGCCACACAAGTGGCACACCCAAAAGAGAATTCCAGCAGGCACCAGACCCTGCTGGAAACAACTTTGCCTTATGGGGCAGCCCCTGCACAGCGCCTCATACACAGTGATTGAGGTTTATCCTTATAGTCAGTCAGCCTGAAGGGTTAACTCCACTCACAAAAGGATAAACAGCATTCAAGACTAAACTACAAGAGGAGGGTACACATAACATACAAAAAACACTCCTTGAGCATGGAGCTCAAGTGCTCTGAAAGATTGTGCCACTGAGCCCAACACCATCATAAAAAGTTTGAAGTCATACCAGATCTACCTAACACACAGTGACAAAATGGGGAAACAAAGAAATATGCCCCAAAAGAAAGAACAAGAGAAATACCCAGAAAAAGAACTAAATTAAATGAAGCAACCAAAATACCAGATGCAATGTTTAAAATAGGTTTTAAGGATGCTTAAGAACCTTAAGGGAAGAGTGAGAACTCAAAGAGATGTAAGCATTAAAAAGGACATAGAAACCACTAAAAATAACAACTCAGAAATGAAGAATAATGAAGAATACAATGCAGTCAAACCTCGGTTCTTGAACATCTCCCATCTCAAACAATTCGGTTCTTGGCCAAGTTGTTCATGGAAAAAACGTCTTGGTTGTGAAACAAAACTTTGGTTTTCGACCTGACAACCCTTTCATGCTGATACCTCAGCATGACAAAAAGCATCTCTCAGGCAACAAAGGAGAGAATGCTTTTGTTGCTGGCAAAATCGACAATTAGCACAATTTTAAAACGTCAAGAAGCCATCGAGAGTGCTAATGTTACTAAGGATGTTAAAGTGCTCACAAAACAACACTCACAGGCAACTGAAGAGGTAGAATAATTGTTGATTTGGATAAAGAGCAGTTAGCCGGTGACAGCATTTCAGAGGCAGTGATATATGAAATACAGTGGTACCTCAGTTTTCGAACGTCTCCGTTGAGGCAAATATTTCGGTTTAGACGATTGCGGTAAACCCCAAAGTAAATGCTTCGGTTTCGAACACATCTCGGAAGTGGAACAAGCCACACAGCTTCCACTGAGTGCAAGATCCTGAGGCCTAGCTGTCGGCTGTTGATCCCTCGGATTTCGAACGTTTCAGAACTCGAACAGTCTTCCAGAACAGATTACATTCGAAAACCAAGGTACCACTGTATTCCGTTTAAGCCTAGTAGGGCATGGTTCGATAAATTTAAGAAATGTCGATGCTATGAAAGAAACTGTACCAAACTAAGATGCAGTCATCAACTGGCTTTATAATCTTGCTCAGGTTCCTCATTTGTAAAACAGGAGGCAGATCTAAATGATATAAGATCCTTTTCATTACAAATTTATGAATCTGAAAGTATAAAACTTTGCTTCCCGAGTCCCTTTGTTAGGATATTTACATTTACAGAATCTATTGGCAATGTAATATAATCCCCATCTCCTAACACATAAAGATTTTGGGCACAAAAATATAGTTATATCTTCACTTAATGTCATATATAGGTTCTGTAACTTTAGTGGAACAATGTATAATGAGACCAATTTTACTATAGGTTAGCTGATATAAAAAAGAGTTAAGTTCCTACAGCTTCTCATCAACATTACAACGAAATGACAGTATTCAAGGACCTGCTGTATAAGATTAGGTAGAAAGTAAAGTAATCCTTACTGTTACAAAATTTTAAGTCCAAATTCCATATTAAACATATTGTGAGGTTCTAAACTATAAAAGAGTAAGTGGGAGAAAAGTATGTCCATAAATCATGCACATGAATGAGAATTACTTTTGGAACTGTTTAAAATGCACATTCCCAAGCCCCAACCAAAATCTACTACAGAATATCTGGAGGTCAGGCCTGGAAACCTGCTCTTTTGATAAGCTTCAGGTTATTCTAATATACACTAATGTTTTTAAGACTTTGATCACAGACTAGAACAAATAATATAATGAAAAACAGTCTCAGAGTAAAACACTTCAGAATAAGAACTGTAATGCACCTACCTGTGTAGCTTTGTCCCTCATGCAAGGAGCAGTTTGACCATGATTATCACGAGGCCAGTGCCCTGCAAGGTATGGAGCAGCAAGTGTATCCAGAGAGGAAGTGCGGCGAATGATAGTAGAAGGGCTTGAGGAAGGCGGTCGTGTTTTATCACCTAGAATTTAAGACAAATATATTTATTTTAAAAAGAGATGAGGGAGGAAACAAAGCAGGATCTAAGTTTTAAACTAGGCAGGAGTTTTCTAACTAAAATATAAAAAATTAATAACAAAAAGTAATAATAAGCTACTGATTCACACAAAGTTGAATGAATCTCCAGGAAATTATACTGAGCAAAAACAGTCAATTTCAAATGTATGATTTCATTTATATAACATTTTTTAAATGACAAAATTTTAGAAATGGAGGAAAGATTAGTGGTTGCCAGAGGTCAGAGATAGGGGAGGAAAAATAAAGTGCCAGGAAAGAAGCAGGGACTGATAAGGAACTATTCAGTATATAAGGCAGTTAAGATAAAGTTAAAATTCCATTTTAATCTATCTCTATAAAACACGTATCTTAGTGATATTTGTTACAATAAATAGACCGCAAGAAACCACATTAGCTAGGCTACAGGAGCTATAATTAAAGCCACATATGCAAACATTTTGCATTTCAAGCTATAGGTTATGTACTTAAATGTAAGCCAAAAAAAAAAAAAAAAATTAAAAATACTAGAGGTAATAGGAAGTTAGAGGTAATGTAGAAGAAATGCCCTCATATCTCCTTTTTTTAATGGGGAGTGGGAGTATGCTTAGTTAATTTATGCTGTAAAATTTTTAAAAATTAAGGAACTTAAAATATTAAACATAAACATATGCATGAATAAAATTATAATACTATCATTCTAGTTCTATATAACAAATATCTTGCACTTCTTAAAGCCATATATGAAAACACTTTAAGACACCTCTCTTTTACTTGTATTACACAGTGTCTTAATAAGGGTCTTGCATAGTTACAAATATAAAAGCTCCGTTGCTGGTTATGTGACCCAAATAACAAAAGATTAAATTCCACTAACATAATAGTTACAGCAGCTATTAGAAACTAATAGCTGATGATAATCATTAAGGCTGTTGTGTTGCTGATAATCATTAAGGCTGCTTTACAGATATGCCTCAGATACATAATTTGCTTTCAAAACGGGCACAATTATTTCACTAAAACAATTCCTAATTGTTGCAAACGCTAACCATTTCTGCATACAGTCTTACCTTTTATAGTTAAGAGAAATGAAATGCAGTACACATCCATAAGTTCAAGAAAACATGTGTGCCCACATTAACTGTGACAAGTGAAAAGCAATAAATATACACATGTTCAAGATTTTTCCTCTAACTAAAAAATTAATCTCTTTGAGACAGTCACAAGAAGATTGTTCTTAGCTAGGGGATAAAAAGGCACACACACACTTGTAAACTGGTGAATATTCATTAAAATCAAATTGCTAAAGCTGTCTGGCACTTTTCTTCCCTAACTATGATGTTGTCAGTCCCACCTGTACAACTAATCAAACAGACCTTACTAATAGTCTGATTCAATTTTCAAGATTTTTAATGATCTAAGACAGTAATTTTCAACTTTTTTCATCTCGTGGCACACATAAACTAATTACTAAAATTCTGCAGCACACCAAAGAATATATTTTTTGCCAATCTGACAAAAAAATAGGTATAATTTTGGATTTACAAAAATAATAATAGTAATTACCTACCCTTTTTATCCAAAGTTGACTTTTTAAAAAAATCAAGTCTCTATATTTGTATATAAGGATTTCTGGTACCAAGAATTAACCAATCAGATGCAACCTTATTATGCAATGTGACCAATAAGATGCAACTCTATTATATGACTTATACTGTACATTTATGGTTCAAGACAGGACTATTACACATGATGGCATATTGTTGTATGTTGACTGTTGTCTTTTTTTTTTTTAATATATCTTTATTGATTTCAAAGAGAGGAAAGGAGAAGGAGAGAGAGAGTTGAAACATCAATGAGGAGAGAGTCATCATTGATCAGCTGCCTCCTGCACTCCCCTCCTCCTGGGGATAGAGCCCAAAACCCAGGCATGTGCCCTGACTGGGAATCGAATAGCAATCTCCTGGATTCTAGGTTGTCACTCAACTGCTGAGCAACACCCAGCCGGGCTGTTGTCATTTTTTAATTTGACAATCTAAGGGAAGAGGTCAGTGTCTCTGACTAAATAGTAAGGTACTGCATGTTTTAAAAATTCAACATGGCACACCAGTTGAAAATCACTGATCTAAGAGCTAACCTTTCAACTAAGACTCCTAAGACTATTAGATTTTCTATAATGAAATGGAGATTTAGAAAAGTTATACATGGTCACATGTGAAAACACTAAACATTTTCTCTTTTGAGCTCCCTTCCTATGTATGACCCACTCATTTAAACATTTACTAATGGTCTGTGAGCCAGCGCTAAGCCCTAAAATTAAAGAGACTAAGTTAAAGTCTGCTCTAAAAAACACATAGCCTATATGCAGGCTTGTCATTATTCCATTTCAATCCAGGTTCCCAAAATTGACAGGATTTGGTGCCAAATTATGAGGGAGTTAAAGGGAGGGAAGGGAGCCTCAAGAATTCAACATGATTCAAAGATTCCCAGCCTCCATGAACAAAAGCTGTATATTTATAAGGAAGCCCAGAGGAAGAGACTTTTTGATAGCTGACAAGATCCTCATCATCTGGCCTCTCCAGCCTCACTTTCTTGCCTATACTGCCTCAATCCCTACCATGCTGAACAACTTTCAGGTCCCAATGTGTGCTAAACCCTTGCATGCCTCCAGGCATTTGTCTCTACCTAGATTACCTTCATATCCTTTCTTTGGTTTGCCTAATTCATGTTTAGGAAACACATCAACGTGTTAAGTCAAAAGCCCTCCTGTGTGCTGCCATATTATGGTTCATTAAAATGGTCCTTGACAGTTCCAGTGCTCCCCTAGACAGTGAGATATTGCAGAGCAAATATTTTACTTTTCCCCATCCCAATTATTACGACAGTACCTGACATATAGGCAGAGAAAAGAATGACCTCTGATGTTACTATCCCTCTCAACAAGGGCAGGTGCATGCACTAAATTCAGATATTCCTTTGTTATTCCAAAGTAAGTCGACAAATATTGCATGGTATCACTTATATGCGGAATAATAAAATAAAAAGTTAAACTCATAGAAACATAGTAGGGACAGAGGTGTGGGGGGAGGGGAATAGAAAGAGGTTGATGAAAGGGTACAAACTCTCAGCTGTAACAGAAGGTCTGAGGATGTGATGTAGAACATGGTGACTATAGTTGATAACACTTGTATAACTGAAATATGCTAAGAGAGTAGAACTTAAATGTTCTCGAAGAACGAGGAGGAGAAGGGAGGTAATGAATAAACTAGATGGGAGGAATCCTTTTACAATGTATATCAAATTGTCATGATGTGAACTTTAAATGTCTTACAATTTTGTGTTAATTATAATACCTCAATAAAGCTAAAAAACAAGTAAATCAAAACAAAAGTTCATACTAGACTCTTGTTCTTTAAAAAGCACATCTTTATAGAAGTTAACTACAGCAGGGTGTGGCATTAAAAATTTCAGTCAGCGAAGTTCAGAACTCCCCAACCATCTGTACCAGTTCAACTGGTTCCTATGTTGCTTCAATGGCAGTAGAGCATCCCAAACCATTGCCCCAGGTATTACATTACAAAGGTTCTACAGACCTGATCAGGTACTGGCTTAAAGGCTGTAGTTCCTGTTAGCCACAAAATCATTTAACAAGTAGAAGGGATATATCAGACATATTAATTTGTTCAAAAAGGGAAGGGGGGAATACTTTCCCTTTTTAAGTATAAAAACGATAAATATTCAGTATAAAGAAACCTAACAGTACCAAAAAAACCAACCAATTAGCTGCCAAAGATAACCATTTTAATGAGTATTCCTTTCCAGAAATCTGTCTACACTTACACACATGTACAATTTTATATAAATGAGGTGCTACTGGCATACTATGATTGTTGAAAAATAAAAACAGCATGTCAAGAACCTATTTCCATTGCAACAAATATAAATCTGTAAAACACCACCATTTTTAATAGCTGTATAGTATCTTACTGAATGGATACACCATAACTTAATCCCATATTGATGGATATTTTCAGCAGCAGATATGTATCTTTTTACGCTCATTATCTTTTTTTAAATTTAAGATTTTTTAATTTATTTTTTTAGAGAGAGAGGAAGGGAGAGGGAGAGAGAAACATCGATGTGATCGAAAGGCTATCTCCTGCACACCTTCCACTGGGAATAGAGCCAGAAACTTACATGAGAATTTAAATATAATCTGTTAAAGGAAAATCTAGGAAAACTATATTTCCATAACTTAGTTCTAATTTTGTTTCTGCAATTATTTCCATGTTTCTTCTTCAGTTAATTTCTCCACTAAGTTTTCAATAAAACATTAACATGTAACATAACTAATAACTGATAACAGTAGTACCTAATTAAAAATTAATCCTAATATGAACTAAATCATTCATTTACCCAAACTGATTTCCTATAGACATGATATACAAAAAAAAGAACTATTCTAGAAATTCAAAAATCTAATTAGTAATTATTCTTTTGTTAAATACAAGGTTTAATTTACATATATAATAAAAAGCACCCTTTTTTAGTATACAACTTGAAGTTTTGAAGAACAAATATACCTATTTAATCACCATCACAATTATGATTTAGAATAGTGCCATCACCTCAAATAGATTCCACGTGCTCCTTTGAAGACACCGTTCTCCATCGTTGGACAGAGGTAAACTGACCTGCTCTTTTTAGTTTTGCCTTTTTAAAAGTCACACAACTGTAAATATAATCATACAGTATATACTCTTTTGTGTCTGTTGGCCGCTTTCACTCAGCACAATGTGGGATTCATCTTTTTGTGTATTAGCATGCATTCTTTTTTATTGCTGAAGAGTATTCCACTGTAAGGAAATATGTGATGATTAACTTTGTGTCAACTTGCCCGGGCCATGGGGGGCCCAGATAGTTGGTTAAGCATTACTGTAGGTGTGTCTGGGAGGGTGTTTCTA